TCGGGCAGCACCCCTTCTTCAGCTCCAGTTTTTACTGTACAGCCTCCATGTGTGCTTGTGCAATATTCAGCCACATTTCTTATACAATTAGTGGAAACACCAAATGATTCTCGAGAGGTTTGAGTGCCAAGTACTCAACCATTGGGAGCAGGTTTGCTTTAATGGAGCTCAAGCAGAAGGATACTGCATGGTTGGTGTTTTTCTCCATGTTGTCTCCTTAAATAATTTTTTTTCTTAAAACACAGGGAAAGGGGAAGCGGGAATAAGCATGGAATATCTTGAATCACAGAGTGGGCCTGGCTGCCGGATGGGCGGTACTGTCTATCAATCAAATAAATCAATAATTAGATAAATAAACACCAACCTCTGGTTGCATTCTGAGATTTTGCAGTTTGCCCAAAGCTACACAGGGGCAGGACATGTTACCATATCAACCCCACACCTGCTAGGTGATCTCAGCTGGCCCTGCTCTGGGAAGGGGCAATGGGGATTTGAACCCCAAGCCCCTGATTCTGCAGCCAGACATTCCAACCCGCTAAAATATATGGGACTGTTTTAAATGGCAAAATTCACAAACCCATCAGTGTTAAATTTTCATCTCCCCAATAAAATATGGATAGTTAATGTTTTGCCATCTTAAGCCAGTAATATTTCTGAATTCTAGTCCACAAAATAAGCCTGATAGGATCTGGATTTATTAACCCCAAAGCTCTTATTAACTTCCATTTTTAACAAGTTAATGATTCTAGCTCTTTCATGTAGCACTACATTTGCTCTACAAAGAATGGTTTTATAACTTCTGTAGGAAGAACAGACTAAGAAAATTAAAAATGGTTCTGCTAAAATGACTTTATGGTAATAAGTGACAGTGAAAGATTTCCATACAGCTGCTTTGCAAACAAAAATTATCAAGGTGGTTTCAATGACAATCTAAGCATTTAACAGTTACATGAGTAATTTCTTTATAATACTTATCTCTCCACTTAGTGAAGTGCATATATGCAATTATAAAAATCTCTAAACTTTAGATCTTGTCCAAGGTACTTTGAATAGAAAGGAAATTTGAAGTGATATAAAATATTTTAAGGAAAAAAGAGGAGCAATTTAAAAAATCCTGAAGCTACAAAGGGGTATCAGAATACAGGAATTTTCATAGACGTGAAAATCAAAGGGAATAACTACCAGTAGTTAGGAGTATGTGTAATAAATGTTTCAAGCTATTTGCCTGCGTTAATAACATTAAACCATTATTGAGAATTAATGTACCCAGCATCAGCCATCTTATGGCACTAGCTCATTTGGATAGTATAACACTCAAGTCACAACTGCAGTTTTCCACCACGTCATTTTACACTGGGATGAAAAAGACACAGCCCACGGATTGCATGCAGCTGCCCAGGAACCCAAATGCCCCACTCCCCAATATGTGGCTAGAGACAAATGTACATACATGCTTATTAAATACAGTAAATGAATGCAGTGGTTGTGTACTGCAAAGGTTGCTAAAACAGTTTTTTGAAGTGCACTTAAAGGAGTTTAAAAACAACAAAACCAAAAAGCTCCTCACCTCTAGTGGTTAATTAAAAAAACATAAAGTATTATAGGGCACATGGGAGTCCTCAAACATGGCAATATTGCCACCCACCACTAGATGGTGTAATGGGACTATTTGATTTTTAAAATTTGAAGGTAGGGAGATGGGCAGTAAAACTGGCCCTTGCAGTTACATGCAATCTGTGAACATGTTGATCACCTTTGCTTTACTGCATCTGGAAAACAACACCAAAAAAAGCAGACTGCCCAAAATATGATACTCAATAACTGGGTTGCCCCTTTTTACCATTCATCCATCAAACTTCAATTTAAACTTCAATCTAAAAACCTCCCTTTCACTTTTTTTTTAATCCCACTCGTACTAACAAAAAGTGATTGCCAAAGTTTAAAAATCAAGTCTGAGCTTGGCTGTTCCAAGATCACAGCTCTGCAGTGGCATATACATGTCAACACATCCTTCTAATCCTGCTGTCACCTTCGCTCTCAGAAGCCGGGGAGGAATTGGAGCTGACAGGACTCCTGTTCCCTGAAGCAAGACGAACAGAAACCCCATCAGTTTCATTACTCCCTGGACTCTTAAGCACAGACACAAGTGGAGCAGGAAGAACAGGACAGTGGCATATCTGCTACCTAGTTATTTGACTGGGAAAAAAAGCACACAACCGTGATTCTTAAAAGTTTATCTTTAAAGTGCTGTCTTAATACTTGGAAAAGCCTTTTAGGACCATGACAATAATGCAAGCGTTTGGAAAAGATTTCCTTGGCTCCAAGAAACTGCTCCATGGTACACCCCTCCTACTCACATCAGCTGTGCAAGAAGGACTAGTACCAGATGCTCTGTGCAGTGACACCAGCAATGGTGTCACCCCTTCTAATGATGACATCCCTTTGTCTTCCATTTCAATCTTCCCTAAACATATTGTGTCCTTTAAGTTCTACGCTAGGGCTGGACAATACACAACTGTGGAAGAAAAAGGATACTTATGATTCCCATCACTCTGCTAAAATTTGGTGGCAGCATGGGGTGGGTGCGTAAACTGCAACAGGATCGGAGAGGGTGGCCAAAACTGCTCTGCCAAAGGCATCTTCAGACAAAATACTTTTTGTTTAGAGATACAATATAAATGAATAACATCCTATCTGTGAGTACAGCCTCATTATGCCTAATAGTAGGGAAGGCACTGCTTGTCAGGGAATGGTGGGGCCCACTGGTATTCAATCAGTCTTGCTTTTGTATTTACTCTGGAATGATAGGTGAGAGCCGTTTTAAAGGACTTAACCATACTGGACACCCAAACAGATTCATATGGAGCAGATCTGATTAAAACAAAAAGTCTCTGCACACATGCTGCCCGTCGATGGGATTAAACCAGAAGCATAGCAACCTTGCAGTGGCTCTCATTCTTGGGTCCCCAGATGGTTTTGGACTAAAACTCCAAGAAGCCTTCCCCACTAGCTGTGCTGGCCAGGATTTCATAAAGCATAATAGACATACACAACTCAAAGGCAACCATAGTTTTGCTCACATAAGTTAGGGAGGAAATACAAAGACATATGAACCTCCTGATTTGCCTCTGTAACCACAACTACTCCCACGCAGTGCAAAGCTGGATTGCTGTAGGAGGTCACCCAGATTGACCTTTCCTAAGCTTGGCAGAAGATCTCGGCCATGAGAAACCTTCACTAGCCAATGATGAAGATAACAGAACTCTCTCAACATATTTGGACCATGAAGTGTTTCTCTGCCTTTCTACAAAACCCATTTACTAACATAAACTGACATTAATTCCCTCCACTAGCTTATTATACATTAAAAATATAAATAGCTTGGAGGAATCCCTTAACGCAGTTCCTGATTTTGAGAAGAAAACTATTCTTATCAAACTGTTTGGAATGCCATCTTGTGGTTAGAAGCTGAATGTAACAATGTTTCTATTAAAACTTGTTTTGCTCTATAGACAGAAAGTTATTTCTTAAATAAAACATCTTGCTATTCCTTTATTGGTGAGCCAGATACATTTCATGGGGTAGACAGTGGCCTGCAAAAACCCATTCCACAATACATTTGGTAGCCTTTAAGGGTGTCACAGGTAACTTTTTTATTATTACTAAAACACAATTGCCTTTCTGAAATGTAATGCCATTATTTTTAAAGGCAGAAAGAGATACAAGAACATGCCATATCTCGCCACCTGAAATATTAAATAAAATATATGTAACTGATTTTATTAATGTCACTGAAGCATTCCAGCCTGATTCAAAGATTTTACATTTTAAAGAAAACAGATCAAGTAGCAAGCGAAAATATCTACTTGAAACTCTGGAGAGGTGCTGCTAATTAGAGTAGCACCCAAAGTTGGTGAGATAGAGATGTAGTCTGACCTGGTAAAGGTTTTTGCACATTTGTAATACATATTATGTTTGCTTTATAATAAAGATGTTATGTTAGCAGGAAAAACAGACATATCTTCCCCATTTCAACAGCTAAAGTGATTTAGAGTGGACTCAGTAAAATCAATGAGACTTCAGTTAATGATAACCAACTTTGAGCCCAACCCATCAACTCCTACTGCAGTCATCGTGCCAGCAGTGTGAAGTACCTTTACATTTGTTCACCTTATTTTGCCCTTCAGGTAATTTACAGTACTAGCTTTACAACACTCCCATGTATTTCAATCTTTGTAGGTAGCCAAAGCAAAGCCACAATACCTCTGTATATGACACTTTAGACTTTTCATAGATTTCCTTGTCTTAGTTTTCAAAATGGCAAAAATTCAGCCAGCTTTTCACGCCTAAATTGCACGCCTCTTTTCCTTGCCTCGTGCTATTTGTTCAATGTGTACTCCAGTTGCAATTAGGCATGGCAGCAGAAATCTACAGATTAGAGCTCTCATTTTACATCACTGAACAGCAGCCATGAGGCTGTGCAAGCCTTGGACCAGGGTCATGGCACTGCTGGAGGCTTAACCTGGCCCTAACTAGAATGAACCTTGAATCTGGTACTTGCCCCAGTATATCCAACACTGTCCTTGCACCCTACAGGCCCTACAAACCAGTTTCAGAGGGCTTGAATACATCCAGTTTGTTTTTGGTGCTGGACAGGGATGATACACGGGTGTGTGTGAAAATGCAACCCTACCACAAGCTACTTGGATTTGTTACTTTTAAAAATCTAACTATTTAATAGAACACTATTTACAAAACTTGATAATGTTTACTAAACATTTGTTTGCACCCTACAGGCCCTACAAACCAGTTTCAGAGGGCTTGAATACATCCAGTTTGTTTTTGGTGCTGGACAGGGATGATACACGGGTGTGTGTGAAAATGCAACCCTACCACAAGCTACTTGGATTTGTTACTTTTAAAAATCTAACTATTTAATAGAACACTATTTACAAAACTTGATAATGTTTACTAAACATTTGTTAAAATACACCCGCAACCCTACCACAAACTACTTGGATTTAAGTTACGTTTAAAAATCTAACCATTTGATAGAACACTATTTACAAAACTTGATGTTTACTAAACATTTGTTAAAATGCACTTCTAGGTGTATTTTAACAAATGTTTAGTAAACATTATCAAGTTATCCCACTTCTAGGTGGGAGAAAAATAATCACAGCAACACAGATAGCAAATATCAAGTAGGCCCCCAGTTAGAAAACCTTCATGAAGTGGCTTTGTATTAAGGCTTCCACATGTTCCATAAGGACAGTCATATCTGCACTGCAGGCCTCATTGGTCTGGTTTTCATTCTTTTTCAAAGCCTCCAAGAGACTTTTATGGACTGGTGGCAGAGGGTTATAAGAATTCAACAAGTGAAGTTGACTTAATGGAGTCTCTTTTAGTTTATCAACCCTCAGTGCCTGCAGGATAGCAGGTGCAAACTTAGAATAGTGAGCCGTGGAGGAAATGATCACTGGGCATGTTTTATCCTGCAGTCTATCTGCAACTACTTTTGCAATGGCTGTGTGGGTGTCCATTAGGTACCCAGTGGTACTGAACACAGAGTGAATAGCAGCCAAACAGTCCTCCTCAGAACACCAATCGGCCATCAAGTCCTCCTGAAGTTCTTCAAGGAGACTTTTCTGCAACTGGAAGCAGCCCTGATTTTCCAGACTGCTAAATAGTTGTGTCACCAGCTGTCCGTCTCCATTAGCAAGCCAGTGCAAATGCCGTTCAAGGTTGGAAGACTTCAGAATGTCTATGGCTGGGGATAAACTTTGCATTAATTGCCTTCCCTTCAAATTATACAGGCCTGTTCTTATAAACTCAGTCAAGACATTATTTTGATTGGAAGCACAGATAAATTTTCGTATGGGAATTCCCATTGTTTTTGCATACATCGCGGCTAATATGTTTCCAAAGTTTCCTGTGGGAACACAGATGTCCACAGGAGTTCCAAATGAAATTGTACCTTGCTCAACAAGGTTCAGGTATGCAGAGGCATGATAAACCACTTGGGGAAGTAATCGTGCCCAGTTTATAGAGTTTGCTGCACTTAAGGTTGTTCCATACTCCACTGCCAGAAAGCCAGTGTAATCGGGATTGGTAAATATTTGCTTGATGGCAGATTGGCAGAAATCAAAATCTGATTTTACACCTAGCACTTTTGTATTTGCTTCCTGGTAGCCAATCATCTGCAGTTTCTGTATCTGGCTAACCCCATCTTGAGGGAAAAAAGTGATCACTGCAATCCTTTGCTTATCAGTCTCCTTAAGATGACTAAAACCATCTAGGACTGCACTTCCAGTGTCACCAGATGTAGCTACCAAAATCAAATAATTGCATGTTTTAGGAATGCAGTAGGCAAACAGATGAGGCATGAACTGTAATGCCAAATCCTTGAAGGAGGCTGTTGGTCCATGAAACAGCTCCAGAAGAAACTGATTGCCCATCAAATGCCTAACTGGGGCAACTTTAGGACACGTAAAATTCTGTCCATATGCAGTCTTAACCATTTCCCACAATTCGGAAGCAGGTACATCAGCGGGATGTATACACCTTTCCAATATAATCTGAGCTCTTTCGGCATAGGTTGCCTCTAATAAAGTTTGCCATTCTCCAGGGGTGAATTTCGGAAGCCCTTTCTCAGGAACAAACAGTCCGCCATCCGTTGCTAGGCCCTCAACAACAGCATCGCTGAAATATTTGACAGAGCCCTTCCGCCCATCTTTCCTACTGCCCTTGAGACTCCTGGTTGAAATGAAGCCTTCTGACTCGGAGTCTTGATACCACTTAACAGCATGAAGCACTTTGTCAGCGACAGCCTCTGCTGAAATCCCATTTTCACAAAGGACACGGACGTGGTGCCACTTTCTGTAAAACTGCTTCCTAAACTCAAGTATGTTTCTCATAGAAGTTCCAGGAGCCTGGCCAACAATACGATCCACTTTCATTAATTTCAGCCGCTCTATTATGTGTTGAGAAGGAACATCCAGATATACAACAATCCCATTTTTCTTCATGTGCTCCATGCCAGCAGCATTCATTGGGTTAGATCCAGAAAGGGAAATTACACTTCCAGAGACTGAAAGATTTAACAGGGCTCTTCCTTCCTCTTCTAAAAATTGCTTGTTACCAACTTCCTTCAGTTTTTCTGCCACACTCATGTTCCAGGTTGTTTCAAGGACATCGTCATCCACATCTATGAAACGACAGTCCAATTTCTGCCCTATTATTTTTCCAACTGTCGTCTTCCCAGCACCAGGAGGTCCCATCAAGACAATATTCTTGTCCCCAGCAAGAGAATGCAGCAACATCCCTGGCTTCCAAGCAATTATGACAGGTCTTGGGCGGAAAAACTTGAAATTCATATTAGAAACCACATTATGAGTCAGTAGCTTCAAATGCCAATTTCTAGTTGCATGAAACATCTTTTCTTTCCTTACATCAATTTCACAAGGAATGGAAAGACTATAAAGAAGAAGGGGAGAATTAGCTAAGGAAAACACTTTTAACTCAACGTTTAAAACAATTATTACAACACATTACAGGACATTTTTGACTCTCCTATCTTGAGAGAGGCATGTTTTTAATAAGATGTTTCACCCTTCTGAGACCTGATCACAACACATCACTTTCCGCAATAAATGTTGTATTTCATCTTCTATGGCATTTTCTCAGAAACTGGTTCACCTTTAAAGTGAACCAAACAATATCCACAAGTAGTATAGCAATGTTGTTATTCTTCAGCAAAGTAAGGCTCACGTGGATCTTTAGAAGATTTATTAATTCACTAGTTTTTAGGGTATCACACAGCTCTTCATTGTTTTACCTTTAAAATGTACATCTGTTCACTGTGTATTACATAAAGCTTTAACGTGGCATTACTGTGGCCAACAACTGCAAACAGACTAGAACATAACAAGTTCTAAAATTGAAAGGCTATGATGAATACTCAATATCACTGACTCTACTGATAACATTCTCAAAATCAATTTTAAAAAATTCTCAATGGCCTATAAACAAGTTCCCCAAAAGAATGGCTAGAAATGATAATATATGATAATATATAATGATAATATAAACATTTTTATATAAAAATAGATACAGGACACATTAAAACTAACCACTGCAGAATAACATACATGTAGAATGTGGTCACTGCTTACAAAGGAGTCATGATTCTATCACAACCTTTACTATAAAAACAGATACCTACAAATACAATTCCCCTTTCACTTGTTTGTCAAATGGTAAACTTCCCAACAATTTTAATTATGCCAGAGTGCAGAGTAATATATTTGTACAAACAAGCTCTCCCATCTTGGTGCCCTCCAGACTATTTATGTGATTTTTGTTCAGGCTGTCCACTATAAAACAGTTATCAAGTTGGCTAACAAACACAATTAAAAACAAATTAGACATGAAAATCCTAAAACCATGAAAATAATAGTAATCAAAGCAATGGAAAGCATCACAATAATTGGCAAAATTGTTTAAAAGGCCAGTTTGAATAGAGCTGTTTTCATACCTTTCCTAGAATAGAAATGTAAACTGATTCTGTGGCCATGATGGCTGGAGTTGATAGTTTTTGTAGTTTCATGCATCTGGAAGACACTAGATAGAGGAACGCTCTTACACAGAGTCCTTACTTGAATCCCGATACATTTGGGACCTTTAAACATAAACCTCCCAATAATAATGTTCAACTTAATATGTTAACTCACAACTTACTGTTACAAGGATATGCCTGTCTAGTACCTTCAAAGTGGACAGTTTTAAAAAAATTCCAGATGTGAGGTGCTCTTGCTCAAGAACCACGTTTGGCTATTTGAAACTTAATTTAGACTGAACAGAATAAAAAAAAGAAAGATCAGAATGAGGTAAGCGCTACACAAGCAACTGCTCTCCAGAGAAAATGGGTGAACTATCACAGGGCAAAGAGCTCTCTCCTGCACTGATCAAGGCACATGTGTTGCTAAGGTTGTAGATCCACTTTGTTTGCTCTGGGAAATCAAGGGCAGCATCAACATGAATTGCAAAACAAATAGCCCACAATATTAAGCAAGAGTCAGAGGACTAGAAAAACTTTGCATATTTTCTTTTCCTTTTAAAAAGTAAAACAATTTAGCCCAGAAACAATGTAACATTGCATAAAGGACAGGTTTGCTACTTTAGTTAACAGAGATGAAAAAGAAACAATGGGTTGACCCAGACAGTCATAGTAGGACTCCTGACATCAATAGGATTTAAGGTTGTGGCTAACTTAATTCTCATTGATTTCAGAAGGCCCACTTTAATTAAATCTGGATCCTCTATCTCAGCATTTTTTTTCTTATAAAAGCAGGAATGAGTATATTACAATTGTCTAATTGGAAGCTATCAACTATACACAAATGATTAGCTATGCACTATTGTCTATATTAGCAGTGTAACCCTACAGACTTTATTGAACTGCAATTCCCATTCAGAGTAAGCAAGAATAGCCAATAATGAGGGACGATTGTTGTCCAATCATCCCACATATTCGGCATCCCTGGAATAGATCAGATCTATGAACAATCACTGTGCCCACAGTGAATATTGCAAAAACAATATAAGTTGCATAATTCCCACTACAAGGCCATGGGGTTTAAGTTTAACTACAGCATCTTCAGTGAGATCCAAGTACAGTACAAATTAGTGTGGCTCCAAGCTATTCTCATTAAAGATCAATTCAGAGGATACTGATTTTGTTGAACTGTTTTTACATCTTAATGGGCAAAACCTTTTTGTCAATTTACGAATGTGTGAGAAAGGTGGCTTGATGGCACACAACAACTGAAACTGGATTAAGACTTGGTGGCAAGTTGCCACTGATGAACAAGTTGCTGTTTGTGTTCCTGGGTGCACATTTAAACTCATGATAAAAGCATAATACATGTTACAAAACAGTTGCATCATGATTAAATCTGATTATTTTATATACTGTACTGATTTCCCTTGCTTTTTAAATACAAGTGCAAATGAAATTGTTGGCACTTGGGAGATGCTTTACATGGCTGGTTACCGCCTTTATGTTTAACATCTTCCTCATAATCTGAGGAAAGATTATTATATTGCATACCCCTCAACTGCATATAAAATAAAATCATTCCATACTATATAAAAATTAAATTTTTAGTTTTATATTTTCTTATATACCTTGTTACATCCTTTTTGGTTTTGATTGTTTGTTTGGCTATTCCCATTTGCCATAGCTTTGATATTAATTATCTCCATATGTTTAGAGATATAACAGCTGTATAAAGGGAAGAGAAGCTAGCAAACTATGGAAGCTTTCTGTTAGACTGTCTTATCAATATTCAAAAGTCATTTTCTTGAAGCTATCTTTTTTTCTGTAGAATGATTCTCTAAAAAAAATCATTGACTCTGAAGAAAAAATCACATGGGATGGAACACAGAACAAGGATGCTGCCTTAAGCTGAAGACCAAACTATCAGATACAGAAACATACATACTCAGGGTTCCTATTGATCAGTATTAAATATATGGTGCAGCTATTCCATGATTTTTCCTCAACAGATTTCCTCTGGTTAAGAAAACACACAAAAGAAAAAAAAAAGGAAACACTAGGTGACACTATCAGTGTATCTTGGTATATATTCTTCACAGGTTCATAGTTCACAAAGGTTAATGCCACAACAGACCTTTTAGGTCAAGGATGTGGAACTGTGGCCCTCCATGGGCTACTGGACAACAATTCCAATCATCCCTGACCACAGAAAATGTTGGTTGTACTCATGGGTGTGGAATCCATCAGCACCTGGATCAGCACTGGCTCCTACCTGCTTTAGGCTTTGAAGTGTCATAAAGTTATTTCCAAAAAAAGTAGCCACATAAATCTGCAAATTTTTCCAGTGTCCAAAAAATAGTAATAAAAAAGGACAAGGGGAGCAGTGGTTAAAATGCTGTACTGCAGCTAAAACTGTGCTCACGACCTGGGGTTCAACTCCCAGGTAGCCGGCTCAAGGTTGACTCAGCCTTCCATCCTTCCCAGGTCGGTAAAATGAGTACCCAGCTTGCTGGGGGGGCAATGTGTAGCCTGTATAATTAAATTGTAAACCGCCCGGAGAGTGCTTGTAGCGCTATGGGGTGGTATACAAGTCCAATAAATAAATAAATAAAATAGGTATAGCACTTTAAACACTAAGAGCTTTGTTTCTGTGAGCCTTTGAGAATCGTCGTGTCTGTGAAAATGGAACTTAATGCACGAAATCTCTATTAGCTTTTAAGGTGCCACAATTTTTTTTGCCTTCCCCCCCCCCCCAATAAAGCTTTGTTGCAGTAGCTCATCCTTCCTCAATCAGGGTCCCTCCTGATATTTAGGACTACAACTCCCACAATCCCTTACAGTGGATCATGTTAACTTCATTAGGTTGATGGATTCTTAGCCTAGAACATCGGGAGGGCACCAGATTAGGAAACGACAAGCATACTAACAAGATTATCCCTCCAGAGTTCTTCAATTAAGGTTTGCGACAGGGCTGCCTCTCCCCTTGCGTTGTATTTCAGAGCTGGCTCTGACCATCCATCAGGGGCTTCCCATCTTTCACCAAAAGGTGCTTTTCAAAGCTTTTTTTCCTCACGAGCAATCCAGGAGATTTCCCAGAGCAAGCCTCTAAAGGACCAATCATGAACGACAAAGCCAGCCGCAGAAAGGATAAACTTCTCTGTCCCAGTAAAACACCTCCCGCCATTATGCAGCCAAACCCGCACACGTACATACGAGCTCAGCGCATGCGCAACATCCCACGCCGACGTCGCCCCGCCGCCCTCCAAAAATCCCTCCTCTCGTCCTATGCAAGCGTGGCGTCACCTGCCACTGCGCCTGCGCACCATTTCTTCCTCTTCTTCCCCCCTCCCACCTTCCTCTGTTCATTGTTTGGTAGCGTTCCGGAAATGGAACGGCAAAGGTCTTCCTGCGTTCCACCCACACACACGTTACTAAGCAATTGTATCCAAAGGCAACCAAACAGTGGGCAGATAGTTTCGCTTATTGTAAGCCTTAGTCTGGGTTCGAATGAGCGCGGAAAGGGGCTGCCAGGAGGAACGAGGCGAGGGACGGGGAAGGTGAGGCGGCGAAGGGGAAGGGAGAGAAAAAGGGAACGGAATTGAGAAGGAAGCAGCCCTCTTGGGGAAGGGTAGTTTCCTACCGTGTAGTTGCGAAGCAAGCAGGTGCTCTGAATTGCCTTGTTCCCAGCAGTAGGGAGAATGAACACACTGCTCCTGTGGATTTATTGTGGTGTTGATTCCCCACCTTCCGTGGAAAGCTCAAGACCCCCTTTTTTTTCCTTTATTCTCTTTGTCACCCATTTTATCTTCCCGACAGCCCTGTGAGGTTGGTTGCCTGGTGTTGTCCCGTTTTGGCAGAGAGCGGTTCTGCAAATGTATCCGATCAAAGAGGGATTCTTCCCTTTGCCCGGATGCAAAGGGAGTCTTTTTTTTACTTTGAGATAGCACTTTGGACCGGCACAGAAAGTGTGTGATTTTGTCACAAGAGTTATGATCCCCACAGTTTTGGATAATATCCACACCTTATGTGCATATTTGTGCCTGATGTGTGCCAATGGGTCCCTGGCCATTTACCAAGATGCAAAAGACAACCAAGCCAATGTGGAGCCCCTTTAGTGTGCATGGGTGTTTTACATAGACAACCCCAGCCGGATGCAAGTGTTTGCAAATAATACCTTAGAACTGCAGAGCTAGAAAGCACCCTATGGATCATCGAGTCCACCCCTGTCAAAAGAGGCACAGTGGGGAATCAAACTCCCAACCTCTGATGCCTAAACCATTGAGCGTATCCAGCAGCTCTATTTTCTGCATTGCTTAACAGGCCAATACAGATTATCATCTTATCTGGTGGTTATAAGCACTTACAGGTTCATAGAGTAAAAAATTGTGGTGATTACTTGATAAGTTATTACTTGGTAAAGTTCAACTGTATGGATCCACAGAAGAAGCTGGGAGCAACAGTAAGTGACTTTAGGGCAGAGAGTGGGACAAGAGAAGGGGAAAAGAAAAAGTGTGGGAGAAGTTAAATGAAGGGAAAGCAGACAGGACCTGCATTCACACACATGGAGAATGGAAATGGAATGTTGCCTGTATGAGGGAGAAAATGGGACTAGATTCCACCTCGTAGCCTGAACAATCTAAACTAAATTATCTGCAGACCGTATCAGTGTGAAGATGACAGCACTGTGCATGGAGGAGAGCATTTACAATCTTCTACCACGAATTGTGGACAAGCCTATGAAACCACCTAGGTAAGAGGGTAAGAACTTGTCTCTTGGGAACCTTTCTGACAAAGCTGCCCACTTGTTGGTCAAGCTTTATATGTGTTAGTCATTTTCTTCCAAACATATTAGCAATAATTTCTTAATTAAAAGGAAATGAGTTTATGATCTTACGTGGTAGCTTTTGATGCAAGTGGGTTACCAGTGATTTTAATTAACTCAGCATTTCCAAGTCTTTGCCTCACAGAACATACCAAATACTGTAGTTAATTTGCCAAACACTTCAGTCATGGATTTGTTTTTGTTTCACAATAACATTTAAATGTACAGTATTTTAGTGCTCTTTGGCAATTAGTGTTTTGTGTTCATCAATGGAACAAAATAAAGAAAAAGACTGTAATCTGTGCACACTTTCTTCATATAAGTGGCGCTAAATGGAAACTCAAAAGAGCTCAAAAACAACTTTGAAAACTATATATTGTTGCTCTGTGAAACCATATTTTAATTTTAAATTCAATGATATTTAAAGTGTTCTCCTCCTCCTAGATCGTTCTGTCAGAACCTCAATAGGTGAGTTGTTCATTCCAGATATAAAAGGAGTGCATCATTAAGATAAGAAGATTCTCTGTTTATTCTAACATAAACTTTCTTCAGTCTGCATTTGGGAAATTAGTTTGCTTTTGTGTTGTATTTGGTCATTTGGGAGATGAGTTTTTGTGTATGTGTGTCTGATGTCTCAGGCACGGTACTGCTGAAAGATCTGTGTTGTCAGGAGGACCAATTGTGTAAGAGAAGGAAATAACCTTTCACCATAATGTATATGACCTGACCCTCATTGTGCTTGGAAGGGCAATATCCAGGCTTGGGAAAGCTCTGAACTTCATACAAGCTTTTGCTGTTAGTGAAAGTACTTGCAAAATCTTTTGCTTTCCCTACCCATCTTCTTTGCCCTCCCAGAGGGGAGGTGATGTCTTCTAGCTGCTGTCACTGCTTAATGGGTCATTCCGGTGGCCAGATGATCAGTTGCCACCAACAGAAGGAACTGAAGCATCTCTACTGACTTGTCCCCTTATAGGTGACAACAGCTGTTTCTTCCACCACTGCAGACCAGTTGCCCAAGAGATAAATACAGTGGTGCCTCGACTTACGAACGTCCCGGCTTATGACCATTTCGAGTTACGACCAGCCCCGGCCGCAAAATTTTGCTTTGACTTGCGGTCGGAGCTTCCAGTTATGAAAAGAAAAAGGCAGGGGGGGAAAGGCGGGAAATTCAAATTGCTAACTGTTGGTGGTGAAGAGGCTGCTTCTTTGTAGCTCATTCACCCCAATGGTTAGAGTGAGCGTGATCGAAGGAGGCTTCAGACTGCCTGGTAAGGTAAGGTGCTACTTTCTGCTTTTTAAAAATGGTTCTGGGTGGGTTTTGCAGCGTGGTTTTGGGCTGGGGGGTTATGTTTCTATGCTGTGATGGGTCTTCGGTGGTTTGTTTCTTTTTTGGGTTTTCCCCCCATTTCCAGTGGGTCTTGGGGGTGTTTGATTGTTGTGGGTTTTTCGGGCTTCTTGGCCATGTTCTGAAGGTGGTTTTTCCTAACGTTTCGCCAGTCTCTGGTGCTTTTTGGTTTTTTTCCCCATTTCCAGTGGGTCTTGGGGAGTTTGTTTGCTTTTTTGTTTTTTCCCCATTTCTGATGAGTATTGGGGGGTTGTTTGCTTTTTGCTTTGTTTTCTTTGCATTTGCAATGGGTCTTTCTTGCACGCTTGATTGCTTTTTGCTTTGTTTTCTTTGCATTTGCAATGGGTCTTTCTTGTACTCTTGATTGCTTTTTGCTTTGTTTTCTTTGCATTTGCAGTAGGTCTTTTTTGCACTCTTGATTTCTTTTCTCCCACCCCCTTCAGCCAGAAGGGATTAATCATGTTTCCGATGGGTCTTGCAGTGATATTCTTTGTGTGTGATTTTTTTTCCCTTTGGCCGGAATGAATTAATTGCATTTCAGTGCATTTCAATGGGAAATGGTGCTTCGACTTACAACCATTTCGAGTTACGACTGGAGTTTTGGAACTAATTAAGTTCGTAAGTTGAGGCACCACTGTAAATAGATAGTTAAATAGGTAGAGAGGGCAGCTGGGAGTAGGCAGTGTTCAAGACAAAACTAGGTGCTGCTGAATGGTGTTTAATCATCTGTTGCCAATAAAACATAAGAAGCTACCTTATATTGAGGCAGATCTGTTGTCCATCAATAGTCTGTGGCCAAAGCATATGTTCAACCACTAAGCTGGTTAGCAAAAGAACAAAGTTTTTATCACAGATACCACCAAAGAGGGTCTTACCAAAAGGTAATGTCAAAATACATGTTTTTTAAAAAAAAATAAGGACATTTTACTATCTTGTATGTTTCAATACAGTTTATGGGTTTGGGTTTCTTACTGTATGATTCCAAGTTGATGTCATCTTAATTTTTCAAGGTACGTTTCATATTTTCTCACAGATACAGTAATGTGGCTGGTACACAATCAGGGAGTCACTGAGTTATAAGTTACGAAGTGCACTTAGATGCAACACTTGCGGGGATGTTGATATGGCTGGGACGTTTTTTGCTGAACCACTAATAGCACAATCACATAAGAGAAGCAGAAACTTCATTTTCAATGAATGGCAAATCAATACTGAAATTTAATTTAACTGTCTCATAAATGCTACACCTTTCTTAGCCCTCTAAGTAGGATTGCACAAAGTTATTGTGAGCTGAAGAAGAAATTCACCACAAATGGCAGATGCAGGGGAGGGATATCAGGAGACAGGTATCTAGTTGTCTCATGTGCTCCCAGAGGCATCTGGTGGGGCCACTGCGAGATACAGAAGCCAGACTAGATGGGCCCTTAGCCTGATCCAGCAAGGCTCTTCTTATGTAAAATAAATTCAGTATAAATTGGTGGGGGGAAAAAGAAACTGCTTAATCACAGATAACAAATTGTTGAACAGCAATATATTCTTTCTGGCTACTTTTATTCCTCTGCTGATTAGGCTCTAGATAGGTGTGCAGAGTAAAAAGACACAGTGATGTTGTTTTCGAATACAAGTTTGAATTGATACTCATAACTGAAAGTTATTATTTTAATTTGATATAATATAGATATTTAGAATACAGTAACCTGTGGGAAAAAGTCACCTCCTCTTACACTAATTATTCTTTGTCTTTTTTTCTCTTTCCTAAAGATATGTGTCATCGTTTAGACCATATGTGAAACGTGCATTGCAGCAAAGTAAAGCGCAGTGGAAAACCATTGGACCAGCAAAGGTTGAGGTGCCTTCTCCAAAAGATTTCCTTCTGAAGCATTCAAAGGAACCAAAGTTACCAAAAAGTATGTTTTCTGCTAACAATATTTGGAGGCACTTCCAAATGTATATAATGATGAAAAGATTGGTTATACCAGTAGTGGAATTTCATTGTCACAAGAGTGCCCCCTGTGGATTTGAGAAGTATGACAAGTCTATGCCTATTTATCCAGCATAAATGATCTCAGTACAGTGGTGCCTTAACTTACAAATGCCCCGACCTACAAATGTTTTAAGTTATGAACAGCTCTGGATGCTAAATATTGCTTTGAGTTACGGAGCTTTGACTTATGAATGAAAAAAACCTTTCCTGCCCTTTTTTTTGACCTAAGTTCATCTTAGTCAAAAGAAGAAAAAAGAAACAATTCTGCCCCTAGTGGTAGAGTATGGATTAACCGGCTTTGCATTAGTTCCTATGAGAACTAATGCTTTGACTTATGAACCATACCTTGACAAAAGGACAAAAACCAGCCAGAATGGATTAATTGGTTTTCAGTGCATTCCTATGGGAAATGCTTCTTTGACTTATGAATGTTTTGACTTACGACCACCGTTCCAATACAGATTAAGTTCGTAAGTCAAGGCACCACCGTACTGCTTACTCCAGGTGCTTATGATATTGAAAAAATTATGAAACAGCTCGCTGCATCATAGATATTTCATTTTTAAAATTTTGTTTATTTTAGCCTTTGAGGCAGGTGGCCTTTACACTGCTTAGATTCTCTTCCAAACTATGACATCCTGAAATTTTTGTTGTTCATATCTTGGGCAGTGCCACAGCTAATAATTATTACATGCCATCAAATAAGTTCTGGCGCATGGTGACCCTTTCCAGCATTTTCTAAGTATAGCATACTTAGAAGTGGTTTACCAAACTCTTCTTCTGGGGCATGGTCTGGGACTGTGCAGTTTGCCCAAGGCTACACAGGGCTGATTCTTGCCATGGGAGCACCTTGGGGAATCGAACTCCCAAATTCTGATTCGTTGAACTATCCACAGCAGCCATATCTGATTTATTTACAGGGCAGACTATAGTAGGATCAGCTTTAATCAGAAAGCCCAGACATGTCGTCTATCTCAGTGGTCCCCAACCTTGGGCCTCCAGATGTTCTTAGACTTCAACTCCCAGAAATCCTGGCCAGCAGAGGTGGTGGTGAAAGCTTCTGGGAGTTGCAGTCCAAGAACATCTGGAGGCCCAAGGTTGGGGACCACTGATCTATCTTGTGTGTCATGCATTACATCTACCACTGAGAATAACAATCCTCTTTATGATGCACAGTGTCATAAGGAGACAAAGTATCTAAGGCTGGAAGATGAACAAGCAGGGAGAAGTAAAGGGCCAAAAGTGAAGATAGGAGATACACAAAGTCCTTGTGTTAGAGCTTGCGTCATCGGTTGAAGAGCAGTTTCATTTTGATTTGTCTGAATTTCAAACATTGGAAAATCTGTAATACTTTCTGTACTGTTTTACTTTAAAAAAACAGGGAAAAAAGATAAAGAAAGGAAAAAAATGGTAGAAACAACAGTTCCTAAAGTAACAGATCATCCAGTTATGGGAGTTCAGTGTACCAGGAATTTCATAAGCACAAATGCAGCTAACGTGATCATGGGAGTAGCTAAGAAACCTCAGCAAGCTTGTGTTGACCGGCGACAAGGGGATAAATTTCTCCTAGAAACTTCAGGACTTGTTCCAAGATATCTCAAGAAAAAGGTATGTTCATGAATGGCTTAACAAGGATGGCACTAATGACTCTTGTAGGCATCCTTCAGTCTCGAGAGACTATGGTAACGTGCTCTGAATATGAGCTGATGAATATACTGGTATATTTATATACCCAGCAATTGTGAAATCCTGTACATGTGTACTCAGAAGCATTCAATAGGTGGTAAGTCTCATTGAAATCAATGGAATTTTTCCTCCAGGTGAGCTTGCATAGGATTGTGCTGTGTGTTACTTGCACCTATATTGAAATCAATAGGACTTTCCATCTAAATTAATTGGACTTAAAGCATAGCTGACTTGAATATATGAAATCCAACTCAGGAAACTTTTAAATTACTAGTTCCTGTTTCTAAACATCTTTACTATGAATCCTTCCAGAATGCTTTTTAGCAAAAATGCACTAATTGGTAAGACTATTTTTCTGTTAAGCTTGTGTTTACCTTTCAGTAACCAGTTGCACAACAAAGCATGATAAATACAAGATTCCAAGGGGGACGAAAGGCCCATATTTTGTTGTCCCCACCACATGAGAGTGGACAGCATCTATATATACTAATAGTATAATGTTTCATTTGACCCTCAGTCTTCTGTCAGCCGTGCACAGATTTTAATTAGGCTTCCCGTATGCCTAAAGATTACATAAATAAAATAATCATAAAGTAAATCACAGTATTTTCATGCAATATTCATTTAGGCAATGGATGGGCCTCAAAAGGTCTAGAGAGTTTCACAGGTTTGGAGGGTTGTGCCTGGCCCCATGCCCCCACCTCAAAATATGTTGGGATTTGTTTTTTCACACAAAAAAAATATTTTTTAATGGAAAAAGCCAAGTTGCAGCCTATAGTGGAATTCTAAAAAAAAAATTCGGTGGGAGTGCATGAGTGCTGCAGGGAGTTCAAAAGATGACAAAATTGACCCTTATACCTCCTAGAAGTTCACAAGGGTTCTTTCTGAACTTTTTTATTATTTTAAATTTGGAGGGGGTATGAAGGTGCTGAGAAGGCTCAGAGCCCTTAGGGATTCTGAGATTCCACATATAGGCCCCTGTGGGCCATATGTTTCCCAGCACATCGGGGAACATCAGCCATTCCTTAAATATTGTGGTATGGTGGGAACAGTGTTCATAGTAGTGGAATTTGCAACAAATTGTTCCAGTCTGGAATGTTCCTGGGTCTTCTTTCTGTCCCCCGTCTCCTTCCCCATATTTAATCAACATTCTATGGCAACTGAGAATATTCACAGGGGGAAGGATGTTCCCCAGGCATGGCGGTTTGCCCCTTTAGATCCTTCCCTGATGTCAGCTTACCTCCCCCTTTTTATGCAAAAGGCACTACATAATGATCTACACTCAGATAATGAATTCTGTTTTTAAATTTAGAAGTAATTAGAGACAGATCAAAGTTGTCTTTTCATTAAAGATTTCATTAAACATTTATATCGCACATAGATCTTTTCTTTGTTTGATTGATATTTGTAAGGCACATTCCTCTTGTAGGATTATGGTCTCACTCCTAAATATGTAACAAAGCGAAACGAAGAAGCAAGGAGAGCTCAAGAAGAATATGATGCTTACGTCAAGGAGACTCTCAGACAAAAAGCCATGAAAAGGCTGTCTGATGAAGAGAGGGAAAATCTTCTTGAGGTATTGTGTTGGCTTCAATAGCTATTGTCCCAGGAATAAAAGATAAATTGGACATCTCTGCAGGCAAAGTAGAAAGGATTTATTAAAAGCTTTATAATTCAGATAAGTAGTTTTTCACTAGATGGAGCTCTAGAATAGTTTATATGTAGGACTAAGCAAGTCATTGGATGTGACAGAAGTCTGGAACAGTGAAGAGTGTTAAAGGCCATTTTGAAAGTTACATTCCTCGTAATTTCATCCTCCATTGCATTCCTTGCAGAAACAGCATGCTACAGAACATAATAGAAAGTGGGCGCATTTCAGACATTTTTGGTCCACTCTAGATGCAGCCTTCTGTATCTAAGTTTATCTTATGTTAGAGCCTGGGAAATGCTGCCCATTGCATAGACACTGCAATCCTATGCATGTGTACTCTGAAATATATGACAATTTGTTCAATGGCTTTTACTCTAAGAAAAATGTATGAGAGATTGTGCTATTCAGATGCAGGCCTGCTGGATAGCTTAGTGGTTTACATATCTGGCTGTGGAGCCAAAGGTTGGGAGTTCAATTCCCCACACTGCCTCCTTGACAGGCTGGACTTGATGATCCATAGGGTCCCTTCCAGTTTTGCAGTTCAAAGGTTATTTACATGTTAACTTAAAATTAATTGAGTTCAGTGGAGCATACTTTCAGTTAAGGATTATACACTTTGGTTTAGGGTCCAGGTGAAGGATTGTAGATGTCATGGATTTTGGGTATAATGAGGCTGCCTACTAATTCTTGTTTTCCTGTATTAAAATAGGACTTGAAGAAGAACTGGGAAGAGTTGCATCAGGCCTTCCAAAGCCTTTCAGTAGAAATTGATACGATACCAAAGAAGCTTCACAAAGAAAGGCTGGAGACACAGATGAAACATTTTGAACATGACATTCAGACAATTGAGAAACACAAAGTGATTTATATTGCAAACAAATGATGACCTCATTAGGGGAAGAATGGATGGGAACAAAGTTTGTTTTTAGTAGAGAAACAGGAAACATCTATATATAAAAATTTAGGGAAAGTATTTCTATTTTAGCAAGTATCTTAGGACCTTACTTTATTTTACATTTTAAAAGTTTTATAGATAGTCTTGCCTATATTTTGTAATAAATAAAAATTATTTTTCTCCAGATTGTTCAATTAGCTGTATATTATAAAGACATCTAAAGGTTTCAGTTGTCTTTCAAACATTTAATGTCATATATGGTAATAATTCAAATAATTTTGTAAATAAGGAGAGTGTGGATAGATAGTAGCAGATACTTAACAATGTTAGAACTTACCTAAAAGCTCAAAGTTTTCTCTGTTTATAGGTTGGGTTTTGTTTTTGTAGATAGCTCAGTGAGTTAGGTATCTGGCTGCAGAACCAAAGGCTGGGTTGATTACCCATTTTAACTCCTGGAAGAAGAGCCAGCTTGTTTAGCTTTGGGCAAGCCACACAGTCCCAAGGAAACCCCAGAAGAGGGAAATGATAAATCACTTCTGAGTACTCTGTATCTAGAAAACCCTGGAGAGTGTCACCATAAGTTAGAATTGACTTGATAGCATGTTATTATTTATTTTTTATATTATTTCTCTTAGTTTCTCTGTACAAAATGTACATGGTAGCTAGGAAAGAGATATAGCTTCCTGCAAATAATTAAAAATGGAAGGCAGTAAATACATAATAAAATTAACACAGGAATGATGTACACTCAGAACTTGGAAAAGTTAGTCTTTTTGAGTGCAATTCCAGGATTCACAGAAAGCACAACCAGTGAGAGATTCTGGAAGTTGTAGTACAAGTAACTTTTCTGAGCTCTCTCTTTCGTATTTTGCACAATTACTCATATTTCACATAAAATCAAGAATATACAACCGCAAAAATGTGGTGTTATCCAAAGTAAAACTTTTATCTTGGTATATCTTGTAGTTTTTAAATTTTAATTTTAAATTATTTTTAAAAATTTGTGGCATTTCTCATAATTTCCACTCTGTTTCTTTTAGATGTGGATTGACATACAATTTCTGGATAAATCTAAGAAAGCATAAGACTTTTTGAGTCTGTTTTAGACTGTCTCACATTGAATGGACGTTTGTTCATGAAGTTTGGTTGGACCCGGTACCAGATAATTGTGTATAGGACTGCAGTCTAAGGTTGTAAACTAAGTGGAAGTTATGTGTGAGTAACATGCATAGAATTGTGATGTATAGCCAAGGCTGGCATTTGGCCACCTGTGGCAAAACAGCAAACTTTCCCTCCCCCATGTAGGCACATTGCACCCAAACACTGTCAATTTACATAACGTTTAAAAAAAATCACAGTATCACTTGAAATGCAATATTAATAAAAAGAATAACTTACAATTTGCTGCCTGCAGTGGCTGTCTGACTTTGCCAACAATAGAGTGCTTACTTTATCCTCGTTTCTAGATGTCCTGTTTCATGACCTATGCTAATGAGATAAAATATATCCAGAACATAATATTTTTTGCCTTATTATATGATCCTGTCTAGGAAGTCCTTAGCCCACCCCAATGAAAGTGATGAGAACAAGAAACCACAAAGTGGGATATAGGAGGGTGTGTGTTTTTAATGAGACACAGATGGGTTAAATGGGAAGTATTGCAGAAGGACACTTGAAGCCCGTGGAATTACTATTCAAAAGAGATAAAGAGAATATTGCTATATACAGTACATGTGAAGATGTTTGTACAGTAGTTGGATTTTAGGCAATTAGACCACCATACCAATCTTGCTCTAAGCTCAAGTTTCATCATGGGGACAATATAGAACTTCCAATATTGTAAGATGGTCCTTTTGGTCACCAAAGTACCTCTATGAATTAGAAGTATTTTGTTGGGTAGGGAGTGCCCTAAGAAAAGCTATTTTATACTCCGGGATTATACTCCTGGCAAACAGGCATTATCAATAAGACAGTAATGCACACGTAAACTGTGCTGTATTCTTTACCTGCATTGTGAATTTGATCTAAAATCAATCATGCTTCTATCTCCCAATGATCCTGCTGTTTGGGGATGATGGGAGTTATAGTCCAACATAAGTGGGGGCATCACTTTCAGATGAAAGGTAGACTAGTAATTTTTGGAAGTTGAAAGTGCCTTCAACTCTTAGCTGGCTGTTCAACTAGACCTGTTTTTGTTATATGGATATGGGAAGCCAGTCATCAAGGTACACAGTGGAGGAGAATGCTCTTTACTTGATGCATATGGAAGCGTCTATCAAACCAACACATGGAGCAGACCTATCTCTTTCCATTTGAAACAGATGTGTACTTTTTCATGAAGATCATCAATGGTGCTGATTATAGAAGGGAAAAATAGTATAATGAGAACCATTTGAGCTGCAGACACAAGGAAAACATTCTTATTCAATTTGTTCTCTCCAGGAAGTTTGACAAAATACACTTAAGGAATCCTAAGAATGTTGCTGTATCTATATTTGCATGTAAAAGAATTGCCAGCTCTTGGGGCTGCAGTATTTTTGAACTGGCTTGTAGAACCAGTTAGAATAGGAAAAGGAAGAAAGGTGAATGCACGCAATTGAGACTTTATTAGAATTTTCACTTTTACTGCAGGAAGAAAAAACCAAGCCAAGCGCCAAGTCATTTTTATAGGACAATTTGATATGCATTGCTGTGTGACATATGTTGACTCATACCCATCCTATTGACCTTTTTTAAACATTTATAAAAATTGGTTGTTGTGGGTTTTTTGGTCTTCTTGGCCTTCGCAAATACATTTATAAAAATTATCAACCAACATTCCCATACTCCAGAAATTTCATCTATGCTAGTGATCTTGTCTTGACAGTCCAGAGGAAAACCTTTGAGGCCATGCAGCACAACCTAACCTCTGCATTAGATCTTTCTTTACATTATAAAAAACAAACAGCTGAAATTCAAACCCTTGAAAAACACAGGTCTGTACCTTCCATTTAAAGCAGTGGTCCCCAACCTTGGGCCTCCAGATGTTCTTGGACTGCAACTCCCAGAAACCTTCACCACTACCTCTAATGGCCAGGATTTCTGGGAGTTGAAGTCCAAGAACATCTGGGGGCCCAAGGTTGGGAACCACTAATTTAAAGTACAGAGAATCAAAAAGGAAACTCAGCTAGGAAAGCAAGATTTTGGAACACTGTCCTATCCCAAAGTATTTGGGTATCACTTTGGATCAAACCCTGAACTACAAAAAACATCTAAACACCAAACAGAAAGTTGCTGCTGGGTCAGACTGGGGCGCACACCCACCAACAATAAGAACAGCTTTGTCCCTGTGCTGCATCACAGTAGAATATGGTATAAATCAATACATATCAGATAAAATGATGTAGCTCTTAATGAGGATTATTATTACAGGCAGCCAAAAATGCACCTCCATTGAAAAAATCTATTATTTGACTGGCAGTGCCCCTCTAGAAATACTTAGAGAGGTGCCACAAGATATATCCTTGGTTTTGGTTTTACAAAAGGGAAAAAAGGCAAGAGGCTAATCAAGACTGCAATGATGGTGTTTTGCTCTCTCATTGATGGCCATGACTCTCACCACATGCTAAAGTCAAAGCAGGTCCCCCCCCCCAATACAGGAGGTTTATGTCTACATGCATAGGACTCCTTCATACCCTACCTGACAGCATATTAAACCGGACGTTAGTCCTTCTGTGGGATTTCATAGGATTAATTCCCAAGTAAGTGGGATCACAGAAAGCAGCTTTTGAGAACGTGAGATCCCTGCATCAAGAGTCATCCTCAGTGGCTAGCAAACAGCTGATGAAATGCTCTCTAGCCCAAGGTAAGGTTATATACCACAATATCTCTGTGTTTGCTCCATGACACATTACAGCCCTGGTGTGATCTCCAGCACGAAGAGAGTCCAATGTTCACCCCCATTTGTAATTTATGAAACCCACGGATTTCAACACCAGCTTCATCCACGGTTGTGCAGTCTTAGAGCCCAATTGGTCCTCTGAATAGATCCAGAAGCCTGAGTAGGTAAGGTTATATACCACAATATCTCTGTGTTTGCTCCATGACACATTACAGCCCTGGTGTGATCTCCAGCACGAAGAGAGTCCAATGTTCACCCCCATTTGTAATTTATGAAACCCACGGATTTCAACACCAGCTTCATCCACGGTTGTGCAGTCTTAGAGCCCAATTGGTCCTCTGAATAGATCCAGAAGCCTGAGTAACTAAGAAGGGCAGTGTGGTGTAGCGGTTACATCACCTAAGATTACATCCCCTTAGGCCTGAGAAGACCTAGGTTGGTCCAAATTCTCTCCGTCAGCAACCCATCTTACTAGGTGGCCTTCGGTCCAATCTCTATACTGTATCTATCCACCCAAACGGCGTCCTAGGCATCTTGAAAGGAAAGGACAAACAATCTCTCTTATCTATCGACCCAAACGGCGACCTGGGTATCTTGAAAGGAAAGGACAAATACAGGGAAAGCGCTGCTCAGAGTGGTCGCATAGACCAGATGGACGGGATACAAATCAATCAATCAATCAGTCAATCAATGCTTGGACGGGATACAAATCAGATCAAATCAGATCAGATCAGATCAAATAAATAAATAAATAAATGCTTTCAAGGTTGTTGTGTTTTTTTTCCTAATTAAAGGGGCTAATTTCCCAAATGACGCCAAGGAGAGCTTTTTCGCCGCTGTCGCTCAAGCCGTGCCAAATATTTCCCGCTCCCGGGATTTCTCGGAGGGGAAGGAAGCCTCTCGCTGGGAGCTGGACGAAGGGAAAGAAGGCAGAAGCCAAGCCTAAGCGACTCCAAGGGGACCGCGGGAGTCCGGGAGGAGGAGAGCAAGCGCGGGAGCCCAGACGCGCGGCGGCGGCGGCGCGCCTCAGCCCTCGGAGCGCCTCGACGCTCGGAGCGCCGTCTTCCACCCCCTCGGCGCCCCTCCTTCGCCCTTCAAGGCCCGGGCCAGGGACCGCCCTCCGTTCCTTCCTCCTCCCCTTCACTCGGAGCCTCGCGTTTTGCGCCTTAGCCTGCCCGCCACGGAGACGAAGAAGACGAAGAAGGCCGAGGCTGGCTCTTCACGCGTTCCTTCCAAATTTCCTCGCTTGTTGTTTTTTATTTGTCCCCCACCCACCCGCCGTTCCTTTCTTTTGCTCTCCTCAAGGGTGTCTGGCCCGCTCCCAGCAGAAGATGGCCGGGCTCAACAGCAAGACTAGCGCAGCCGAGACGCCGGGACGCAGCGGCCGAGGGGTCGTGGTAAATGCAAAAATAAATAAATCAATTAAATAAAAATCCTCCTCCTCCTTCCTCCTCACCCACCCACCTACCCGCGTTCCCCGCCGTACTCAGCATCAGCCCCTGATGGTGGTGTTACCCGGACGAGCCGAAAAGCCTGGCTCCCTTTCTCACCCCTTCCGGAGCTGAGGCATCTTGCCCGGCCACGTTGTGTTCAGTTAACCCCCCCCCCCCCTTGGCTCCCTCACCCCGTTCTTGAAGCAAAAAGGACATTTGAGCTCATTGAGTTGTTAGGCGGGCTGCGATCCCTTGTCAAAACTTGGGAGGAAGTTTCTTTGCAGGCATTAGGGCTGCCCCTCTGCTTAGATATGTCTAGGACTGAGCCTTCATCCCTTGGAACCAGTGTTATGCAATGGTATTATTCTCGTTACCTGGAAGTAAACTCTGTGGGACTTACTTCGGAGTAAGCATGGGCAAGGACTGGGCTACATGATTGTATAGTCCCATCTACAGTGCAATCCTCGGCCGCAATCCTCGGCTATGCAACAATTTGTATGATGTTATAGTGGTCCAAAAAAAGATATCACCCACTTTTACATTTCTGTGATCTTGAGGACCACACTGGCTTATCCCTGTTCTTGCTTTTCAAAAGGGTTTGGTCCCTGTTAAGTGTTTGTTTGGACCTGGAATGTATCTGTATAGGAGATTAAACAGCCACATGTTTCAGGTGCATATATAATATTGCAAGGAGGAAGGGGGACCAACAATAAAGGTAGTCCCCATCAGGCACCTCCCAAGGGCCCACACCTCACCAAGAACCTCTGGCAACAGCTCTGTGTATTTCATAACAATGTAAGAAGAGCCCCGCTGGATCAGGCCAAGGGCCCATCTAGTCCGGCTCCCTGTCTCTCACCGTGGCCCCACCAGATGCTTCTGGGAACACACAAGACAACTAGATCCCTGTCTCCTGATGCCCCTCCCCTTCTCCTTCTCCTCTTCACCATTGCAACCTGTTTGTTTGTTCATTCATCTATTGCTCTGGTCCACATGGTGGTGATGGTGAGAAAGGAGGAGTAGAAGTCACTGCCTGATGTCTCTTACTGTGAAGCAACCAAGCGGTAAAGAGGAGGAAGAGCAACAGCAGGGTGTGATGACCACCCTGAGAAACTGCATTTTCTAAGGGACGGGGAATTACTGAGGACATCTCTCACTCAAGGGCTCTCAGAACTCTGGAGCTGGCGAAGGAGAGGTTCTCTTTCTATTTTCAAATAGCCCTATTGTTTTCAAAGATGTGGCCATGTTAGTCTGTTTCAGCAGGAAGAACAAAAATGAAAACCGAAGTATTGTGGCATCGTAAAGACTGACGAGACTTTTTTTTTTCGGAGTGCGCTCACCTGCGTGAGGGATTGTAATCCCTGGAAATTGACTCTTAGGGACTGTTTTCTCATGCATAACTGCATAGTGTTTTTCTCTGGGCACTCTCCTATAATTTCATCTCATTGGAGAGTTGTTGTTTTTATAGAGTGTCTCAAATAGATAGAAATACAGCATGTCTACCAGCAAATTCTGCTTGTAGAATGAATAAGTTGTGCCTGCTACAGTTTTGTAGCTGAAGTCTCATTTCCCTTACTGGGTACTATCCATCCTATGTCAAACACTGAAAAGCACCCTAGGATGGCCTAGTGTAAAAAAGGATGGAATCCTGTGCCTTTTTTAAAACTATGTGAAGACGGAGATTCAATAGGTGTTTCTCATAGAAGCTACAAGTGCACACATTTTCTCCTATATAAAGCCATTAAAGATATAGGAAGAGAGCTTGGAACATTATTTTTTTAAAAGACACTGTTGTGTTGCTCATTACTTTAGACAGGCAGGTTATCCTTGTCTTATCTGGAAAGGCTATAGCTGTGTTACATTGGGAGATACTCTGTGGTTCTTTCTAGAATCCAACCATATTTTCTTTGCTTTTTAGCATAACAAAGGAATGGCATGACACTTGAACGAATTCCATACCAGTTACACCACAAAAGTAACTTTGTAACTATTTGCTGCCTTGCTTAATGTAATGTAGTTGCCCAGAAATTTTTCTGGTTATAAGCAGCTATGTTACTTATGAATGTATAGTTCCTTCTAAACACTGTACAGGACTCTTGTCTTCTTTTTCATGCAAAAACTAGAAAAGGTTGTTTGGTTCCCCAAAAACAATACAAATGCAAGAGCAGGTGGTATATTTATTAGACCACTTAAGATATCAAGCAAACAATTTGAAACCAACACCCACAGGCCATTTGCAGACCGCCTCTGAACTCACTTTAAGAACCTTGCCTGGCATAGAAAACTGCCATGAATCTTTGGGACTCTAATATATTATTTTTCTTAACTATCCACAAGATCTTGATACACAGCCTGAGGAAGATGAATTATCATTGAAAGCTAGCTGTTTGCTTGACTTTTTAGTGTTCTAATAAAGGTATCACCCACTCACAGTATAGAATAGGTTTATCTCGCTCTGCCCACCATCAGGTATGTAGAAGCTTTTTTTTCAGTCTGCAGTCACTTAGATTATGGAGTTGACCACGGAGTGTTTAGAAGCATGTTAAGATATAGTTAAGTAATCTTATAATATGCTAGTTTTTATTCAAGGAACTTCAAATTGAATTATACTGAAAATGCACAGGTTTGTCTGTTCCCTAAATGTATCTACAGTTCTTGACATCTTTATGGAGAAGTGAAAACTGCTCTGTTCTTCTGCACATGCTCATGTGCAAATGTACAAAGAACTGGATTGCTAATCATGTGACTTTCAGTTTATTAATCAGTTATTGATCAAATAGGAACAGTGGGAAATCATTCCAGGCATTTCTTTAGATGCAAACTACAGTCCATGAATTTATTTTACAAATCAAATATGTTAGCTTTTAAGGTGCCCCCAATTGCCCATTATTTCTGCCCTCGTAGACTAGGGGGCTAGTTCCCTACAATTCGGCACAAGTTTATGTTAGTAGTTAAAGTGCCATAGAGCTTTTTCCCCCTTTATTACAACAGAATAATATGGCTGCCTTTTTGAAATTACAGATCATGAAGAAATATTGAGTGCTCACAAAATTACATGTTCCAATGAAGCTTTAGAACATGTAATTTTGCTAGCACTCAGTATTTATTAGTGACCAGTTCTAATGAACCTTTGGCTGGCCAGATAGCTCCATGAGTTGGTTACCTGGCTGTAGAGCTGGAGGTTTGGAATTTCCCCACAGTGGTTATTTCTCCACTGTGCCTTCTGGGAGAAGAGCCAACCTATATGGCCTTGGGTAAGCTGCAGAGTTCCAGAGCACCTCCAGAAAGACGGAATGGCAAACCACTTCAGTGTACTCGACATCTAGAAAATCCTGGAAAGGGTTGCCATTAGTATATCGACTTGGATGCATGTGATAATTATTTTAATGAAGCTGTATTTATTTTACAGATTTCAGATGATTGGCCAGGCTACAGTTTGGATTTGTTTTCTTATCCACAGCATTACTGTGGGGATCTCGACTATGTGCTCATACCACATGGCATCATTGTTGACAGGTGAGACTATATGAGTGTGACATGTATGACAGCCAAATGTTCAGTTCTCAGTAATTCATGAATTACTGATTGAATTAACAGCAAGGAGTAATCTACAGTATTCATCACTGAAATAAAGGCCTACTTGCTAGTACATGGATTACTCATTGAATTAACAGCAAGGATTAATCTATTCATCACTGAAATAAAGGCCTACTTGCTGAATAGTATCTTTGTAACCTATACCACCTCTTGAATTAATTCTGTTGTGTTAATTCCTTAGCCTATATAACCAGCCTAACCAATCTCAGAGTTATCGTAAGGATAAGATATGGGAGTGGAGGGTTGGACCATGTATGTACCTTTGAGTTCTTTTTAGGAAAAGCCAAATACAAAGGAATAAAACAGATAAATGCCTTTTTGTGACTTTTGTTTAATTTCAGTCTCATTCTTCATTGATATAAAATAATGCAGCTCTTCTGTCCTTACAACAGCTCTATATCATGAGCTACTTAGAAAGGTTATGAGATTCCTAAAACACCATTTTCAATATGTGGAATCCTAACAGCTCATCTAAAATATGGGAGGGAAGTGGCCCTGTGGATGCTGTTAGATGGCAGCTCTCATCTGTGTCATCATGATTGTCCAGGCTGGGGCTGATAGAAATTGCAGTCCAACAATGTCTAGGGAGCTGTACGGTCCCATCCCTGCTGCAGCCCCTGCACTACATTCACTGTCTTTAAATAAAATGCAGGCTTAATGACAACATATCTACAGTGGGGTCTTGACTTGAGAACTTAATCCGTATTGGAAGGCGGTTCTCAAGTCAAAAAGTTCTCAGGTCAAATCTGCATTTCCCATAGGAATGCATTGAAAACCATTTGATCCGTATCTGCTCTTTTCCGTCCATAGAAACTAATGGGAAGCTGCTATTCCGCCTTCGACCACTAGAGGGGGATATTTTGTTTCTTAGGTCAAGAAAGGTTCGGGGAAGGCAGGGAAAATACAGTCCAGGCAGTCCAGTACCAGGCAGTCTGAAGACTGTCTCCCAATCCACTCTCTAAACGCTGGGAGGAGTGAGGAAGCAGACAGGCACCCTTTTCACTGGCCAACAGTTAACTGAAAGTTCACATTTTGCACTTTCCCTGCCTCCCACGTGGTTTTTTTTCAGTTCTTAACTCAAATCTAAGTATGTAAGTCAAGTCAATATTTTCCTATGAGAGTGGTTCTTAAGTCAAAATGTTCTTAACTCGAGCCATTCTTAAGTCAAGACCCCACTGTATTTCATATTTTATTCTTCTTGATTTAAATATTACTAAAGGAAGGTAACAAGTGAGGTTGTAACAAAGTGTACCTTTATTATTGCTGAGTGCAGAGAATGTATGAGCTGTCACATCGAATAAAGTTTAAATATTTGGTCTCTGAACATGAATGTAGAAATGTCACACAAAATGCCCCAGAATGCTCTTTGCAATGCTCACAATAGTGAAATGGCTAAAAATAAGGCACACAGAGAGAAGAGATCTTAAAGACCACTCAATACCTCCTTCACATGAAAGCAGAGATTACCTGGGCTGCTGCTCCTCCTTGCTGGATAATCAACATATTTTGAATATTTGAAATTTCAGGCTAAAACAGTGAGCTTCATGTTGAAAGAGAAATTTTAAATTATGTTGCCTAATGAACATTCTTCCCTGGAAAAATAACTTCTAAATTGTTTTTTATAAAGGAATGTGTTGGTGTTTGCTGCTATTTTTTAAAAAGTAGCTTGTTTTTGCTTTTCTGTGTTACTGCTGTTAAGAAAGACTCTCATGGCAGCTTAAAGATGAATATGTTTTGTCTGGCATTGTACATTCTAGTCTACAGACCTATGATGAACTACAATGCTTGAAAAAGTATGCCAGATAAAATTTGGCGTTAAGGGTCCACTAACAAACCCCTTTGGGATTAACTACAATAATATCCACAATTAGAGATGGACACAAGCTGCTGGTTTGGCGTTTCATGCCGATTCGTTTATTGGTCAAACAGGTGTTGGTCGCTTCAGAGGTCTGCCTTTTCTGGCAGGTAACCCTCAGAGGCAGTGTCCAGAGGAGTCGGGGCAGGGAAGCCAGGCTGCTGCCTCCAAGTGAGCCTCTGTTGGAGGATGAGGGGCTTTGAAGTGCTGATAAACAAACTGGCATGAACCATCAAGGCAGTGGTGTGTGCCCATCTCTAGTCACAATTTTAATGAAAATATACTTAAAAATTAAAAAAAAGTTCAGAACTCCCCTAAAACAAATAAAATCAATCACAACATGGTGCAGTGGTGACTTGCATTACGACGTTAATTTGTTCCAGCGGTATACTTAAAAATTAAAAAAAGTTCAGAACTCCGCTAAAACAAATAACATCAATCACAACATGGTACAATGGTGACTCACATTACGATGTTAATTCGTTCCAGCGAAATCGCTGCAGAACGAAAACGTCATAAAGAAATTTTTAAAAGCCCATAGAAACGCATTAAAACCCGGTGAATGCGTTCCTATGGGCTGGAAACTCACAGTCTAGCGAAGATCCTCCATCGCGTGGCCATTTTCGCTGCCTGTGCAGCAAGGAATCCGTCCCAGAAAACAGCGGGTGGCCATTTTGTTTACCCGGTGGCCATTTTGAAACCACAAATCAGCTGTTAAAAAATCATCGCTTTGCGAGAATCAGTTCCCGAAGCAGGGAACCGATCATCACAAAGCGAAATTCCCCCATAGGGAACATTGTTTTGCGATCACTTTTGCGATCGCAAAACAGCATCGTCAAGCAGTTTTGTTGTTAAACAGAGCACCCGTCTTGCTGGGCACCACTGTACTGCATTTGCCCTGCAAATTATAAGAAGCTTACATATTGTTACATTACTTTGTAAAAAATAATGGCATTGTATTCTTCTTACCTGAAAAAAAATATTGTTACTTGAAATGCAGTATTTCCAAACTCAGATGAAAATATCTAAGAGAGTTGCCAAAATATTGCTGCACACCCCACCTTTCTAAAGCTGGAATATGAGTAAAAGGGGTTAGATTTCTGTTTAAGATCTTTGTTTGTGTCATACACGGCTAGTTTGTGGCAATCTTGTCACCAGTGTGTGAAACTGAACTTTTCTAATGTATGCTGAACTATGTAGCTTAGGTATCTGTATGTAAAATGAGATTTATGTGTGACTAGTTACACCAAAATCTAGATGGTATATTGATTGAGCTGTGAACATCCAGTCATATTTTAGTCATGTATAAATATCATTTGGGTGTGCTAGAGATTAGTATTCGTTTAAAAATCAAACCTTATATTACCTTATATAAACCTTATATTATTACATGTAGTATTTTTGTTGTTGCTGCACTGCAAAAATATGCTTGCAGTGAAAAATACAAGTCTTATCATGTATTTATGCTTAATTTTCACTTTAGGATAGAACGTTTGGCCAAAGATATCATGCAAGACATTGGATACAATGACATTGTGGTTCTCTGTGTACTTAAAGGTGGCTACAAATTCTGTGCTGATCTTGTGGAACATATTAAGAACCTCAGTAGAAATTCAGAAAAGTTCATCTCCATGAAAGTTGATTTTGTCAGACTGAAAAGTTATTGTGTAAGTAATGAATTTGCTTATTTTTTTTAATATGAATTTGTTTTGTACTGTATTAAAGCATGCTTTAATATGTGAAGATTATACAGATGGAAATAAATCAAATTTAGCCATGCTTTAGACCGCATTTACAGGTCATAACAACCTATGGTGGAATTTATTGAAATGGTTTGATTCAGCTATGTAAACCTATCTTTGCTAAACAAGACATGATTTGTTAATCAGCCATAGACCATGATCTAACTGTAGATTTGTTGTTGTCTTACGAACTCTAGCTTATCTAAGCCATGGTTTGTTATTATATCCAGACTCCAAATCATGAATCGTCCCTGGCTTTATTTCTGAAAGCATGTGTCCTGAAACAGGAGCTGGCAAAAAGGGCAGAAGAAAAACAGATAAAAAATGGCACTGTTTGTTTGTTGTGGAATTCATTGTTGATACAGCAAACTGATTTTAATAGAAGCCATTGTTTATCCTGACATGCAACTGTCCTAGAGTGGACACAATGAAGTCAGTAAAATATATATTAGTGATGGGTAGTAGGTCTGTTGGTTTAAATGAAGCATCTTTTAAGTATGTAAAATCCAGAGCTAACCAGATTTTAAAAAAATGTAGGTATGTCTTTTAAGCCTTTGCCATTATAAGAATCAGTGAATAAACTTATAGTCTAACAGATTGAGTTTCATGAGTACAATATGATTTTGGGTATTGATTTGATTAGGACCATACGTAGCATCTTTCTCTTGTTGCATGTTTATCACAATTGGACCTCTCTTTTTTTTACACCATTAGATAGCTTGACAAAAGCAGTCATCACAGACTTATTATTAATGCTTTTGTGAGTGCCAGGAAAAATACGATTCCTAAAGTTGCTTGGAGTTTGACCTTTTAAAAATCTACTGAAGGTGGTGGTGCAGATGAGCCCCAGAGTGGAAGCGAGGCTAAATAACCATCGTCCCAAGATCTGTGAAAGTAGCTTTGTAAGCTGCTGTTAAGGCTTGTTTTTCTCAAATAGCATCTCTGCTCCACCCTTTTCATAGCATATGACCATGGAAATGGAGGGGACTTCCAAAAGTAGTTTGCAACACGGGATTTGGTTTCACAGCTGTTCAAAGAAAAAATGTGAAAAATTCCATTATGCTCACACAAGCCCCTCGAGTGAACTTAAACAGCTTTTTTGAATCTTTGCCATGGTTTACAGTGGACTATTCCTCATTAGATGTTATGAGTACATATAGTAGCTGGGATAGGAAGGTAAAGGATCAATGGTCAAATATAGCCCTGGTGATTTCCCCCCTTGAAGGACTGACCCAAAGAGCTGCTTTGATAGCCCCTCCCTTGGTTCTGCCTTTAGATAACCTTTTTTCCTTACATTTGTATCCCATTTCTCATCATCGACATGCATGATCTATGCCTGTTATATAATATGATACATTGTCATGCAGGGATTTGATCACAATCATTTGTGTGCAGCCTTTGTGCCACTGTTGTTACACTCACATTTATGTGAACCTGATCTGATTCTAGTAGTAGTCTGTTTTTTCTAAAAAAATAAAATCTTTTAGTTGTGTTCAGGCATACACATTTTATATGCTGTGAACCTTCTTGCTTTCTTTACTATGTTTTTCTGTTCAGATTTAATCTTGTCTTCTCTGTTCTTTCTCTCTAACCTGCTTTCCCCCCCCCAGAGAGTGATTTTTTCCCATGCACTTTTATTTTTCACCCTTTCAGCTTCTCTTTACTAACTGTTTCCTGTTTCTCTCTTCCTTAAGGGAGTCCTGCTGCTTTCTGTTCACTTTACACAGCTGTGCTATTTTCTCTGTCCAACTGTTTGTCTCCAAGAACCATGTCCAACTCTTGTTAACACTGGTGGGATTCTGATGCCTTTTCTTGCTCCATGTTCAGCATTCATGGCTAAAAGGTTAGTTTACTGTCGACAATGTAAATGGAAGGACGAAGAAAGGATCTAGATTTAATTGCTTAGAATATTTGCACCAAACTTACTTTGGACACATCTGTATATGTACAGTTCTTACACCTGTCTGAAGAAGACTTATTTTTGGTGGCTCAAAAGCTTGATGTGTTCACAATACAGGGTATCATGACAGAAAGGTTGTTTACATGTCTGGCTTAATAAGCTATGATAGAGATTCAGAACAGGTTAACAGAAATGCTTCTTCACACAGTGCATAACTAAATAGTGGACAATGGACAAATTAATGGCTGTTAGTCATAACCAACATATGTTCTCTCCACTATTGGAAGCAATGCACTTCAGTCTGTTAGATGCTAGGGAGCATAAATTTCAGTGAGATAGTGCTGTTCTTACATTCTGCTTGTGTACTTACTGTAGGGAACTCGTCGGATATGGTGTTAACAAAATGCTGGATTAGATGAGCTAATCAGTTTTGACCAAAACGATGCTTCTTAAATTATTATGTTGATAATACATTGTATGTTGACATGTAGCTTCTCTGGTCCTCCTGTTATAGCTTAACAACCCACATTGCTGCATTGGGAGCCATTATTATGGTTAAATATATGCCAAAGCAAACCAGATCACAAGCTAACCTTAAACCAGGATTTGTTGTTAATTTATGATCCGGGCCTATTTGATCAAACTTAAATATGGCCCAGGCCCATGTTTGTTCCTGAGTTTGTCACCGACATGTACAATGTAGATAAGAGCTAAAGTCCTGTTGCTTAGCATAAGAAAATCATAACTTTCAGTTCATATCTAATTGGCAAATAAAAAGTTTCTGCCGTAATTCTCAGGAATACTGTACATGTATGTACACCAAGGCAGTGCACCACCCGCAAGAATCATAGTGGGGACTTTTTATTTCCTAGTTAGGAACGGACTGGAAGTTAAGATTTTTCTTATACTAAGCAACAGGATTTCAACCATTGTGTTTTATTTGACTCAGCCAATTTTGATAAAAATTTGAGGTCTCCAATAAGAAATGCAAACCCTTGCATACCAAATTATTTTATGGGATGGAGTTCTCTTTAAGAGAAGCTGCTCAAAGGTCCAGTTTGTACAATATTTCTTTGCTCCATAAACCTAGTGTATGAAACTGGGAACAAATGTTGAGTTTTCCTTTGTCCCACTACCCATCTTGTCATTATGAGTCTTCATTCTTGACTTACCTTAATCTGAAGTTCTGTTTTACATCTAACCTGAAGAACTTCGACTTAACTTTTATGAAGAAAACCTAAATATGTTTGGAATTAAGTTTAAACATCTGGCTTATTGAAACAGAAAACTGTGTTTAATTGAAAATTTCTCTGTTTCATTAAAAAAATAAGCTGTACACGCAAGCCAAAGTCTTATACACAGCTCACCCAAAGCTTGGGGATGTTACCCTTTTGAACTACAACTCCCAGAATCCCCCACCCAGCATGGGTATAGCTAGAGATCAATGGATCTGTAATCCAAAAAGAACTTTACCAAGTTCAGATCTTGACTTATTAAGTCAAGGTGTGATTGTGCAAAGATAGTCATTGTCTGCCATCACTTCAAGGCAGGGTATTAAGGCACGAGACTGCTACCAAATCTTCAAGATCAGAGAGAACCTTTTGTTTAAAAGTTTCTAAGTGTGTCTGATAGTTGAGAAAGCTGTTCCATGTATTTTTCTTTAAGAGAAGCTGTTTATTTGAAGTATTGTGTATAGCCTCCTTTTCATAGGCTTCTAGAATATCTCTTAGCAATGGCTGATGAATATCTAAATCTCAGGCTTAAAAATGACATTTTCAGCTTCTGTTATCCAGAAAATAACTCTTTATTCTTCTGTTACGAGAAATTATCAAAGGAAACTTGTTTTGGTAAGGTCTATATCATGTGATGCAAAGTGTCGAAGATTATGCGGTTTGAGTTAGAGATTTCATAATCCTTTGAAATTCATCAAAATTATTTATGGTATCTAGAACGTAACTAATTTTAAAAATGTGACCCCACTCCCCCCATTCCAAATAACTGAGTCTCACAATAGTTGCATTGATATGTATCCACAAGCAAATACATTGACATTACATGTTTGTTTTTTTCTGCATCCCCTTATTTAAAATTTATTTTCCAGTCCTTGGGTCTCAGTGGTGTTGTCACAAACAGAAGATTTAGTGCCTCAGAACATTACAAATATACAACAATGCAGGCTTTGTGTTTGTTGTGAAGCTGACCCTTTGAAGCAATCTGGTGCCATTCAGCAAATAGTTCAGGCTCTGGTCAATCCACATATTGTCAGTTTTTGTAAGATATGCTGTAGTTTTATAGTTCTTACCAGAGCATTATACATTACTTAAAAAAAGAAATTACAGTATATGGTTGTATTTCTAAATCCTCACCAAAGTTGTTAGATACTGTTTGAAGTGCTGTTTTGAAAAGCAACTATTCGTTCTTCCTTGTTTCTCAAACCTAAGTGGAGTAATATTTTTTTTTAGTTAGTTAGACAAATATCTTGTTTAGTGCAAGCAGACTGTAAGATTTTGCATGCGGAGCGCCCACCAATTTTGGCTTGCTATTCTGCAAGCTGGAGACTGTCCCATTCTTTCTGACGAGGCTTATACTTCTGCAAGAAGGTATGGAATAGCTCTTTGCACATGCTCCCAAAATGTCCCCTCAGTTTTGTGTATGGCATACCAAGCAATACAGTTTTGACACAGTTACTTTAAACATCTGAATAGAGAAGAATGAGGTACAGCCTAATCTAGCACATGAATCACATGATAGTTCTCCTCCATCATTTAACGAGACTACCTTCTCTTTATTATATTAAGCAGCTCAAAATGTTGCTGCAAAAGGAGCAAAGTTTTTCCTCGTTAAGGTATAGACAAAGTGGACTGTAGTTATTCTTGTTATGCTTATTGGAGAAAGAAACCAATCGCAAGCTATCTGTTAGTTGTGACTAGTGTAATCTCAAGTGCTAATAAATGTGCCATGTTCAAGAAATCTGCAGATTTCTACTTCTTGATTACCCTTCAGAGTACACAAGATGCCAGTTCAG